CTGTTTGTAAACACACGTGTTTTTGAAATAAACATACAGACCACAACAAACACACACAAACACACACACACTCTCTCACACACACACACTCACTCTATCTCTCACATACACACACACACACACACACACATACTGTATGTGACTCTCTCTCTCACACACACACACACACACACACACACACACACACACCAAACCCTCGAAAGCCTTAGCAAATCCACAAAAAGACAGGTAATAATGCTCAGAGACGAAGATGGCGGAGTGTGTGAGGTGTGAAGTAGGGCGAGTGAGTGAGTGAGTGAGAGTCATACGGACCCGCTGATCTGAGACCCACAGAGTGATAATTAAAACAGGATAAATTTAGCTGCTGGGAACAGCTGGTGTTGCTGCTCATGTGTGTGTGTGTGTGTGTGTGTGTGTGAGGAACGGAGAGAGACCAGAAACAAACACTGTCACAGAATATTTACTCCATTCATCACAAGAGTTTCGTCCTGTTGCGATGGAGTTTCCGTTACTCGTCTGTGACATTAAACTTTTATTTTTAATTACATGAAAGTCCTCCTCTCCTCTCCTCTCCTCTCCTCTCCTCTCCTCTCCTCTCCTCTCCTCTCCTCTCCTCTCCTCTCCTGCATTTCTCCAGAGCTCATGCTTCAGTTCCCTCACTGTGTGTGTTATGAACATTGTGTCACTTATAAGAAGTGCTTCAGTGGCGAATCTGTGTGTGTTTGTGTCCAGAGATTAAAACAATTCATTAAACAATTATGTTAAGTTGGACAAGTGTTCAAAAATGTTGTAATCACGATTTTATTTGAAAGAAATTAATATTTTTTTTCAGCAAGGATGCATTAAATTGATCAAAAGATACAATGTAACAAAAGATTCTATTTCAAATAAATGCTGTTGTTTTGAACTTTCTTTTCATCAAAGAATCCTGAAAAATAAAATGTGTCACGGCTTCCAGAAAAATATGAAGTGTTCAACTTAAAATTACTAAATGCTGAAATTATGAGAGTTTTTTTTAAAGCTGCTGTCCGTAACTTTTTTGGGTTAAAAATTATCCAAAATAATAATAATAAAAAAAAACATAACCAGCCAGTGTTCAAAAATATCTGCTTGCTTTTGCCCGATCCAAAACGGTAAGCTTGTAATAATGATTTAAATTCCAGTGGTACTGGTGGATTTCCGCGGGAAATTCGAGCATGTCTTTGCGTCATTACGTCACATCTGTACTAGGGGTGGAACGGTACATGTATTCGTACCGAACCGAAACGGTACGGGCGTCACGGTTCGGTGCACGAATTTACACGGAGAATACACGGTATAAAAATAAATGAAACTCGCGTGAAAATTAATTAATGTAATGCGGAACTACTGTTAGATACGCGGGTTCTTTAGGGACACATAATCTGTACCATCGGCTTAGCTCTGAACGCGCGTTCACTTCAAACGTTGGCTTTATACGCGCGTCCTATTCGCTTTGGACTAGCGTCGAACTAGACGCGATAGACGCGAATTTAACGCTCTATTCGCGTTTGGTGTGACCGCATAATGAACAGGCTGCGATGTCAAGATTGCAATGCTGGAGTGTGTGTGTTTGTGTGTGTGTGTGTGTGTGTGTGTGAGAGAGAGGCGCGGCTGCGATCGAACAGTGGAAACATAAAAAACATAGCTACTCCGTCATTTTGTTCATACAGATCATTAAACCTGCAAAGTGTTTACTTAAATTTGTGTACACTCGCAATAAAACACAACATTGTGCTTTTGTCACACTGTAAACTCTTGTCAAACTGTAACCTACAACTGTCACCAAACCAAAATCTCTCTCTCTCTCTCTCTCTCTCTCTCTCTCTCTCTCTCTCACACACACACACACACACTGTTTTAAAAGCAAAACATATTTATCCAACTCCATTTCAAAACAGTCTGTGGGTCCCATCTTTTGGACATTCATCGCATTGGTTTTCATTTCTCGTCCTCGGGGCGCTAATCTTACACATTCTACATTGATTAAAAAAGAAAATCGAATGCGTTTTTAATGGTAGTATTATTTTATACAGAAATCAATTATTTATAATTCAGATGAGAATAATGTTACATTGTTAATTAATAATGTTAATTAAAATTAAGGAAAACAAATATATTGATCTGAAATATAGCAAATTAATTTTAAATTAATTCAGGTACAATTACCAAACATCGCAAGGTCTTTTTGTCTTTTTATTAATTTAATTTATAAACTAATTATATAAAACTATTGTCAGTGCACTACAAATAAACTGGTTCTATGCCTTTATTAATAAAACTTATTTAAAAAATAGAATGCCTTCTGCATTTTTGTTTTGCTTTTCCCTCCATTGTACCGAAATCGTACCGAACCGTGATGTCTGAACCGAGGTATGAACCGAACCGTGACTTCTGTGTACCGTTCCACCCCTAATCTGTACACATAAAGAAGGCGTCCCGGTCGGCTATATTGCGTGAGGATGTTGGAGGTGGACATTTTTAGCCTTTTCTCACAGCATTAAATAATTAAACTTATGGCGGATCCAGAAAGGTTCAAACGACAATCACCAGTGACAACTGGACATTCACCACTTGTAAAACCCCAAATAATTCGGACTTCGGAGTGGGTAACGTTAGAGAAAAAAGAGACTGCAACTGGCCCACGCGAAAACAAGGATAAACATCGGTTCAAAACGGACGCAGAGACGGCTTTTTTTCTTTTAGGACAGGTAAGACATTTCAATAGTTCAATCGTGTAACAGTAGCACACTTGTTCGCTTAATTCACACAGTTACGGAGTTTCCTGTCTTTATTCGTTTAGCTATTATGGTAAATATTTTGTGCTAGCTATGAGAGGGAGCAATTCACCTCTACTCCAAGCAAACCAAACCGGCCTCCTCCGAAATTATATATAGTTTTAAATATGCATCGGATTACAGATACGTGTTTTTTTTTTCTTTTCTTTTTTCTGAAAAAGAAAACCAGTAAAGAAACATTAATTTATTGGTATGACATTTAGAAATTAGACTGCACAGAAATAGAAACTGAACTACAGGGTAATCATAATACACATTAAATGTAGTCACAATGCTGATGTTGTTTCATGCCGATGTGCAACTCACGCAAAGTTAATAATTCCGCGAATAACTGCAATTACAGATTTCAAACAGAGATGGCGACAAAGAGGAAAAATGCCGGACTGCAGCTTTAATTATGAGTAAAAATTGAGAATAAAAAGTAAAAATTATAAAATTAGTTAAAATCATGTCTTAAAAAATCATAATTCTGACATAAAAAGACAAAATTCTGACATACCAAGTCGAAACTCACTTAAGTCATAATTATAATGAGATAAGTCAAAATTATAACATGAAAAGTTGAAATTGACATAATTAGTTGAAATTATGACTTAAAAAGTTTTAACTATGAGATAAGTCAAAATTATTTATGATGTAATAATTTTGACTTGTGTCATAACTGTTATGACTTTTGATAATTTTGACTTTTTATGTCATAATTATGATTTATGAAAGCATGATTTTGTCCTCATGTGTTGGAAATGTTCTTCTGTAGATGAAAAAGTCTTGCATGTTTACTTCCTTCACTTCTGACTTTTTCCTCTCAGAATTCTCAGAATAAACTTGCAGTTGCGCGAATCATTGTGACATCAATATTCCCAATAACCTTTTGTGCCGTTTCCTCGGCGGCCCAAACGAGCACGCGTTCACACTGAGATCAGGAGCAGGAGTGGATGTGTTCTACTTTCTCTGTGTGATCTGGGTCTGCTGTGCGATCGCCATCAGAACATGTTCTCGGTCCAGAATCTGTGTAATATAAGCCAGGATGCTCTTATTTCTCCGGTCCCTGAAGACGCTCTCAGACTCTCAGTCTCTCGCACCGGCTGCCCCCGAAACCTACTTTCCCTGCGTCTCGTTCGCCTGCGCTAATGAGCCCTCGTCACCTGACTGATCACCTGACTGATCACCTGATCACCTGACTGATCTGAGACCTGCAGCACACAGGTCAAGAGCTGCTTCTGAAGAGAAGGAATGCACAGGGTCATCCGGAGACGCACACATGATGTCTGTTTCATGCACTCAAGAGCCTCGTTCTGTGTCCGGCTCCTGTGTAAAAAAAAAAAAAAATGTGTTCATCTGGGGACTTTTGTCGCACTTGAAGCACGAATACAGTTTTGTGGTTGAAGTTTAAAAAAGTAATAATGTGTTCCCTCACGGGTCAATTTGAGCCCATTAGGAATGACTGGAATGCAGGAATGCTTCAGTTCACATAGAAAAACCTAAAAATGCTCAAAATTCAAACAAAAAATGCTAAACCTTGAACAAAAAAGTATTTTATAACGTCTATATGTGTATCTGAATGCATAGAGAACTGGCTTTAGGACCCAGCGGAACAGCTCATGCTCCATTTACAGGTGAAACTCGAAAAATTAGAATATGGTGCAAAAGTTTATTTATTTCAGTAATTCAACTTAAAAGGTGAAACTAATATATTATATAGACTAATTACATGCAAAGTGAGATATTTCAAGCCTTTATTTGTTATAATTGTGATGATTATGGCTTACAGCTTATGAAAACCCCAAATTCAAAATTAGAATATTGTAAACAGGTTTACATAATCATCACATTTATAACAAATAAAGGCTTGAAATATCTCACTTTGCATGTAATGAGTCTATATAATATATTAGTTTCACCTGTAGAGCTATAAGGACATCTAGAGTTATGAAATATATTATTATTTTCCCACAAGAGGTCTGCAAAGACACCCAATGTAAGATATTTAGAGCTGAATTAAAAGGTTTATGCATGAAATTGTGAGTTATTTTGAATTTAAGTTGAAAGAATGTGCTTAAATGACTATTTATTGAACAAATCTAGTCATTTAAACAGCAGGAGGAGGAATGAATGCATGCACAGGGTCGTCCCGAGACGCATGATGTGTGTTTCATGCACTCAGATCCTCATTCTGTGTTCCAGGCTCTGAGATCGTCCAGTGGATGCAGAAGAACCTGAGCATTGAGGATCCAGGTACAGTAGTGCTCACGCGACACACACCGGCCACGCCACACACATCGGCCACGCGCCGCCTCCCCACACACACGCGCAGCGCGGTAAACTCATTAGCTGGAGATTGTTCGGGCCGTTTGTGGTTATTTAATTATGCCGGAGGTGACGGCAGTGAATACACGGCTTGAGGAGGAAATCAAACGCTGGCATTTACATCCGCGAGCCGCATTGATCTGAGCTCGATTAGTTTAGCCTAACGTGACCTTCATGAAATCAGCCGCTGGTTTACACGCAAAGGAGGCGTGGACGATCACGCCAGCTCTGCGCGGCAGTGGAACATTTTTAATATGCATGTGTAAGTTCATAAGTCGACAGCATTGCTGAGTATCTCCTCCTTAAAACTGCAGTGAACCAAAGACAGTCTCAAACACACGGTTTGAAATCGCTGGTGTTTCTGACGTCACAAACGACCTTGTAACCAATCAGATCAACGTGTGATCCTCAACCAGTGGATCTCTGAGCTGAGGGAGTGAGTGGAGGCGGGGCTCATCTGCATATTCATAGAACCACGCATACTAAATGAGGCGAGGGTGTCGAGTTTTAGACAGCGCTGGATCTCACACAGCTCCACAAGAGACTCGAGTAGATAAAACACCACGAGACTCTAGATCAAGGGGCTTAAACCATTTAAAATGAGACAAAACAAGCATTAAAATAAGCTAAAACAGCTGGAAATATTTTTTTATGTATAAAAATATAAAAATATATATATATAAAAAAGAATTTATTTAAATATTTGTTTTGATTTTTTATTAAAATATTTTTATTTTATATATATTTTATGGCTGTGAAACGAATAATCGCATCCACAATTAAAGTTTGTGTTTGCATAATATATGTGTGTGTGCTGTGTATAATTATTTTGTATATATAAATACACACATATGCATGAATATAGAATTTATATTATTTATAAATATTTTATACAGTAAATAAATAAAAATTCTGAAATATATACATGCATGTGTGTGTATTTATATACACAAAATAATTATACACAGCACACACACATATATTATGTAAACAAACGTTTATCATGGATGCGATTAATATATGTTTTATTTTATATTAAGATATTTTCTCCCCCTCAACGGCCTGAATTTTGTCGTTTTGTCTTCGAAGAACCAGGATTTTAACCCTTTGATGCGCAAGCTATGGATACCCCCTCTAATGCACAACATGGGTCTAAAAAGACCCGTATTCATTTCCTATGTTATTCATGCATGGCTCTGCATTTTTTTTGTTTCACCTTTTGAAATCACTTTATTTGAGCATTTTATATTTCATGATCTATAAATTTCATGATTTATGAATATTCAAAATATCCTGTTTTCAATTATCTCAAATTCATATTTGAATATTTCCTAGGTTTTGTGTAAATACATCAAGTTTACACACATGGGTCTAAAATGACCCATCTATGCAAGCGTGATAAAACAAAAGAATAAATAAAATTTTTTGTTAAAATAACCATTGTCACAGTTGTTTAGATCAACACATTTACTGTAACACTTGAAATTTGTTGGCCACTTTGTCACGCATAACACACATATAACCGATAACACTGAAATTGAACTGTAGTGTAGTGCACCTGTAGGGGGATCTCCCCACCACCAATGTGCAGCATCCACCCAGATGATGCGACAGCAGCCATAGTGCACCAGAACGCCACCACACGACGGCTTATGTGACCGATAGCATTGATTTATGACCACAAATAAAAATTAATATGGAGGTACTGCCCAGGTAAGGTTTCTGCCCAACAGCGCCAATATATACTTGTATATGTAAGCAATAAGGTACGAGAGGCTGTGCTGTATCGTGAATAAGTAACGGCTGGAGGGCGTTGTTAGGCACGACGCGAAGCGGAGTGCCTGCAACCCCTTCAGCCGTTACTTATTCACGATACAGCACTTGCCTCGAGTACCTTATTGCTTTTATAAAACGGTTGCCACACAATAAAAATATTAAAGCCGAAAAATATGTATCTATGCAACTTTCATGAAGTAAAATCACTAAAAGCCTGCCTTCCGCTGGAAAAAATAGTCCCGGAACGTGAACAGCAACAGAAGTTACATATATTATTTCGCCAATAGATGGCGGCAAAGACTGTCTTTATGAGTGAGTGAGTGAGTGAGTCTGTAGAGAAGGCTTTTGAAAGGACTCGAACTTGTGATCACGGAGAAGACAGACGCAACTGACAGATGACTAACGTTATGCACGGAAAACCCCATGACTGTTAAAAGGACAAAATATGCAGCGGACATTCAAACGCATTTTTTTATTATGAATATAGGACTGACCTGAAGGAAAATGCTACGTCTACTGTAAATGCAGGTACACTCGCTTACTCGATCTCTCACAATGCTCTGCTCTAGCTTTAAATGAACAATATCAATGAGATGAAACATCTGTTTAAGTTGCTAAGAGTGGTTGCTAGGGGTGTTGTGTAGTGATACATAGAACCGTTGGGTGAAGCGGTCATAGCCGTGTTTTATCGTGAATAAAGCACAGCTATTGACCAATCAGAATCAAGGATTGGAACTAACCGTTTTATAAATAATTTTCTATTGCAACTTTTATTTTGTTGACCTAGCTAACATTAGATAAAATAAAATATGTCGACCGCAAGCTAGCTAATAGTATTGGACATGTTTCTCTTTTTCACTAGTAATGGATTTCAAGGTCAAGGTAACCTTAGCCTAAATGTTCAAATTTTAGGCTATATCTGTCTTTCACAAAATATCAAATATTTTCTGTGACAAAAAATGTATTAAATAAAACTTACATGCATGAAATATACAAAAGCAGCCGTGTTGAATTGTGAAATGTGTGGCAGGTGAATAGTTTTCTGCAGTAAATATATTTATACTATTTATAAATATCAAAGGTTCCTATATGGGTCATTTTTGACCCATGTGTGTAAAA